AGATGACGTGTTTTGAGCGACGTCGACTGCTTTCCATTCTGTCCGCAGGATCGGGAATGTAGTTACCGGCGGCCACGATGAGAGGGTTCTCGTGGCGTGCCGCTTTATCGAAGTGGACTAATCTTCACTGTTGTTCCACATTTAATTCCGTCTTTTCCGAGGCGGCTATTTGAATAACAATTAAAATTTGAAAAAAAAAAAGCATTTTAATATTACAACATTTTAATTTACATTAAAATGTTAATTTACATTTTAATTAACAGTTACACATCAGTTTTTTTTATTGAAGCAAATTTTAATTCACAAGGTTTGGTAAATATGTGCGTTGGCTTAAATCCCTAAAGAACTCTTTCACTAGATGATATTTTGAACAATAGTCACAAAGGTACCAGTCAGTCCATTAGTACTATTATTTTACTATACACTTTAAAGATAGGGTAGTTTTAGAGAAAACTTGGTTATTTGGTCATAGGACGTATTGTGATCTCATAATAGTGGGTGTCATTATTTTATCGCGAAGCAGATATTTCGGTTTGATTTGTGATGGTGTGACTATATTTTTAAGTGAGCAAAACTTGGATTTTGGCCTCATGTTTCAAGATCAGCGGTATTCATGTATAACTTAACACCAGATGATCCGCAAGCTTATTCACTCATTAACACAATAGAAACTGTCATCAAAATACCTCTTAAAGTGATCCGATCTAGAAATTTAAGTACAGTGGATATTATCCGTTAATCAGCCCCTGATCCGATCTCAAATTACAAGTTAATAATATGATCCATTTGAACCTAGTAACATCGAATTTGATCATTGTATCGTTTACTTTTGGAGAAAGAGAAACGACTCAATTACTTTTCTGGGTTAAGCTCAATTATTTATGAAAATCGTTTGTACATTAATGGGGTCATGAACCTTAGGATACGACAGCTTTTCGGTGATCATGTCTGTTCTTATTCTGTTTGTGTCCCGAAATCAGGACGCGGTCTGCGACATGTTAAATGCCAATGAACTTTGAGAGTAAATTTGCAAACGAGATGCGTTATTCCGTAGTAAGTAAATTATAAATGCTATTTTCGGTTTTCGCAAGACAAAGACATTATTGAAACTTTTTTTCGGTTTAATTTTGCAATTTTTTATTCTTAGTATATTGCTTTCGATATTTTTTGTGATCACGGTTGTCCATATGAAAGTATAATAGTTTTTACATGTATTACATTACAAAAAATTAGAAAACATTTTTATTTATTGACTTATTCAGCAGTGTTTTTTAACCGCAAAAAAATTGCACCTTTTCCTTTCAGAATGAACTTAATGTTAACGGAATTATTGGGTTCGTGTAAACTGCTTGATTTGTATGTACGTCGTGACTCATTTCATAAGCTCCTAGATCAGCTTCTTAGTACTGAGTTCGTGCGCTATAAGAAGACTCACAGGGCGATTCTGGCAAAAGCGGTTAAACTTTCGAGGTGTCTGTACTGTGGTCTACTACTGAGCATTTCCTGTGATGTTATCGGTGAGAACTTTCTCAATTTGAATGTTAGATGATACTTGTTTAATTTATTTTCTACCATAGTCACTTCTTAGTTATTTTTTAATGTAACTTTTGTGTGATTGTACCTAGTGTAAAGTGATTATCAGACCGTTATCAAACAGAGATAACGCAACTTAAATATCGTATGAATAAATCCTCAATCATGTTATAAAATGGCTGTCTCCTTTCATTTGGAACGCATGATTGATTCGCGGTAAAAATAGCCATAACCCCGACAAAGAGTTCTACAAGCGAACTGGCCCATAGACACAGCCTACTGAATTTCTCGCCAGATCTTCTCAGTGAGTCGTGATACCGATCCGATGGTAAATTCTGCGAAGCATTGCTCTTGTTAGGGCTGGTGTTAGCAAATTCTCTCAGGTTGAGCCTGTGAGCTCACCTACCCGTCCAGACGTAGCTGGAATAGCCTCTCAGGCAACCACCATATAGATAGAGGAAAAAGACAGAAGAGCGGTATAACGGGTATGCAGGCTCAGATACGCTTTGCAAAGTAATTATACTGAGACCTTAGAACTTATATCTCAAGATGGGTGGCGCATTTACGTTGTGGATGTCTATGGGCTCCAGTGACCACTTAACACCAGGTGGGCTGTGAGTTCGGCCACTCATCTAAGCAATAAAAAAAGAAGATAAATTTGGTGTATTTCATACAAAACAAAAATTACACGAATGTGTTCTTCTTGCCTTTATCCCACTATGGGGCTGGTGTGATTGGCGCTATATGTCCTCTTTTTCAATTCACGCCTATCATACGTCATCGCTGCACTCCCACTCTTCTATCGCATATTATCCTCTTTCATAATAGTCCATCCAAGTATTTTTAGGATGCCCTCTCTTTTCTATATGCGTTTCGGTTTGAAGGGTGGGGCAGCCGTTGTGACTATACTGAGACCTCAGAACTTATATCTCGAGGTGGGTGGCGCATTTACGTTGTAGATGTCTATGGGCACCAGTAACCACTTAAGACCAGGTGGGCTGTGAACTCGTCCACACATCTAAGCAATAAAAAAATAAAAAAAACATTATTATCTACTGTCGCGTTACGTACCATGTAATGTTGGCTGAATTCTTATTTCATATAAACATGACTAAATATGCTTGTTTTTTATAGTACACGTGATATTGGTACCGGGTCTACGTAAGTTTGATACGCTTCCTTTGAAGATGGACTTCATATTCTTTGATACGAACGACAGGAGCTATTTCACGTACATATATATATTTCAAGTGAGTACAATAAATATGTGGCTGTCTAGGTTTTTTCAAAAAAAAAATTCCAACATCGAAATAATTCTGTGTGGTAACAACCAATTCTATACAAATAATAAATTTGCATTAGATAGGCTTTTGGTGAGTCCGAATAGTAATATGTCTTGTGTTTCAATCGTGGGGCAGTCATGTGTTTGGTTTAAGCTGTATGACAGTGGATGTCTTAATGCAATTGAGACATCCACTAACTAACTTACTCATGGCGTTATTATTTTATTTTTTTTTCCCTACCTATGCTGATAGCCTTGAGAGGCTATTTCAGCTTCACCCTAACGTTTGTAGGTGAGCTCGCGGGGCTCAACCGGAGAGTTGCTAACACTGTCCCTAGCAAGAGCAGTGCTTCGCAGAATCTACCACCGGATCGGAAACGCGACCCACTGAGAAGATCCGGCGAGAAACTCAGTGGGCTGTGTCTATGGGTTAGTTCGCTCGTCGAGCCCTTCGTCGCAAGCGACGGGTTCGACGAGGACGGTGACCGGTGCTTGTGGTGCCTAANGTGAAGGAATAACATCGTGTAATAAAAATCACTGGTGGTAGGACCTCTTGTGAGTCCGCACGGGTAGGTACCACCACTCCGCCTATTTCTGCCGTGAAGCAGTAATACGTTTCGGTTTGAAGGGTGGGGTAGCCGTTGTAACTATACTGAGACCTTAGAACTTAGGTATATCTCAAGGTGGGTGGCGCATTTACATTGTAGATTGTAGATGTCTATGGGCTCCAGTAACCACTTAACACTAGGTGGGCTGTGAGCTCGTCCAGCCATAAAAAAAACAGGGCAGTGCTTCGCAGAATTTACCACCGGATTGGAATCGCGACTCACTCAGAAGATCTGGCGGAAAACACTAGCTCATCTGTAACTCCAAACAATAAGTGATACAGAGCTCTTTGTAATTCTATAATTACAAGTTTATTTCCGGGATCACAATTTTCTTAATTTGAAACTATGTCTATAAGACTGTTCAAAGTATAAGTCTGGACTGAAAAATAGCATGCAAAAAGAGCGCGTCCCGTCCAATGTAAAGTGGATCTGTAAACTCATTACCCATTTGTTTAACGATTGAACCATCATTGAAACTAGAACGGCCAATCCAAATGCGGATTCCACATAAAATATAATATGTAGTATGTACACGATTTTATAGTACTCATAGTCACTTTTATCTTTTTATATTAAACAAGGCAGTATATTTTCTGAAATTCATAATGCACTCGATTTGTTTAGGATGTTTAGAATCATAAGATTTTCACAAAGAAAATTTTATTACAAAAGTCAGTATTTCACATCAAAACGGTCCTCCATTTTGACGCAAAAAATAAGAATTTTCATCCAAACGAAAGTGTTATTGCGAAATGAGCTGAGAAAATTCGCGTAGAACGAAACCTCAGTGCCTCGGGGCATAAAGAAAATGCAGTGACGACGCAAAGACAACGAAATCTACTTCCCGTCTCCGCCAACCGAACAACTTTCAAAGGACGTTGATTCCGCGAAAAATCTGCGTCGCGAATTTATTTTGTGACGATTTTTCTTTGTTCCCGTACGCTTGTTAATGATGCACGATCCTTTTGTTATTTGTCTGAAGAAGGTGCGTTTTGTGATCTATACGGTAAACGTCTTTGTGGTTTTTCGATCGTTTTCAAATTAAATTGGATCGTCTGGTACTCCTAAACGAGTATTTTGTCTCAGATTACGATGTAAAACACATATACCAATGTACTCAACAAAGAATCTGCTGCTGATGGAGATTCCGTGCTGTAGCATCATTATAATAGCCACAATGACTAGCCACTAGACAAATGAGCTATCGAAATTAGATCATTGAAAAAACACACAAACAATTTTTGGATACCATCTAAGACAGGTCACAATACAAGGACAAAGAGAGCCATGAGTTTGTCTATTAATAAATGTTAATGTAATTATGTTAGAGCCGATAGTCGTGAAAAAAACTTATTAAATGAAATAAGATACGAGAAGAGATTTAACAATAATCGAATGAACAATAATCGTCAGACTGCCCAACCTGATTATATTTCGCCAGCAGGGTCGTCACTTCGTCCACCTATTTATCGCATCGAAATCTCATTGGGCAATCAAGTCAAAAGCTTTAATTGAATCAAAAATAGTCACAAATAGCTAACTTAGAACCAAAGTCAATCTGTTTTTTTTTTCATTTACTTTCCAGTCAGTCAATTGAACGTTTTAATTTATAACATGGAAAATATGAAAGAGTTTGTTAAAGCGACTGCTACTGAAAGGGGCTGCGATGGAAATGAAGCATTTAAGGAGCTATTCAGAGAATACGTCTTTCATCATAGCTGTATTATGAGGTAAGTTTGATTTAATTTAAATTATTTTCTAGATACATTTCAAATACCGGTAGTGCCTTTTAATGCAAGTAAATTAATTGAAGGTGAAAAAAGGTGTTATGTGTCTCTTCTTCTTTTTCTCAATCGTTTTGCTCTTTTTACTGGTGGTAGGACCTCTTGTGAGTCCACACGGGTAGGTACCAAAACCCTGCCTATTTCTGCCGTAAAGCAGTAATGCGTTTCGGTTTGAAGGGTGGGGCAGCCGTTGTAACTATACTTGAGACCTTAGAACTTATATCTCAAGGTGGCTGACGCATTTACGTCGAAGATGTCTATGGGCTCCAGTAACCACATAACACCAGGTGGGCTGTGAGCTCGTCCACCCATCTAAGCAATTAAACGAAACCTCAAAAGTGGTCAGTGGTGAGTTGTCGTGATCATCCTATAGGGTTGGAGACGGCAGAATTGACGCATCTCACGATGTCCCTCCGTCTCTCCCTCCTCGAGATTATCCTACTGCACTAATTTAGGGGACCTCCACTGTAGTTTTAATTTGGTCGATCCACCGCAGAATGCTTAGTATCTATTTTTTAACACTAAATATACCATAACGCGTCAAATGACCCATTTTGAACTTTTCCATTGAAAATGCACGTTATCATCTTATTGATTTTGCACATTTGACTTCATGACTTTTCTTACCAATATAATCTACAGTTATTATAATACCTTTTTTTTGTATAGTTTTCTTTATTTTGAGTAATACATGTCGTATGCCGTCATCGACCCGCTATGGTAGAAATAGGTACTAGTCAGTGTTGATTAATGTTAATATTGAATACTGTTTTAGAACAGTAATGAATATTTTACTTAAAATATATGCATATATAGAACTTGCGATGAACTTCCTTACATGGTGCTCCCTGGGTGCTTTGACATTTCGTTCTTTGACGTCCCTTATGGTGAGAACTCAAAGGTAAACAGTGTCTTGGCCCTAAGCCTTGCAGACCATGTACCATGTGCTCGTCTACAACGGTAACAATAATATGTTTATGCTTCACTTACTTTATACTTCAGGTTCATTGAAACAATGCAGGTCACTTTTGGGGGGCAACTGTCATCGATGCTATTTATTAGCGCTTGTATTATTTGTTCAACTGCTGTCCAGATCTTAGCTGTAAGTGTATTTTTTTAAAATAAACATCAAACATTTCAAGTCATTGCATGTACCATAAAATTTTCATTAGTCAGAGGGGGGAGAGTTAAAGTCTCAGTTGTATTATGTAGGTTCTATTTGCATGCGTTTTTATATGTCATCATCATTTTCCTGCCCTTGTTCCAGTCATCTGAGGTCGTTGCAACATATTATTAATTTCTCCTTCCATACTCCTCTATCATATACTATTTCTTCGCTCACTCCCTTCTTACACATATTGTCTTTCACGCAATCCATCCATTTCTTCTTGGTTCTCCTTCTTCTATAGCCTTCCACATTCATAGTTAACACTCTCTTACCAACCTCATTTTCATTTCGTCTCATCACATGTCCATACCATCCCAAACGCGCACTTCTCAACTTCTCTGTCACAAATGCCACTTTCAGACTTCCTCTAACATATTCATTCCTCAATCCATTCTCGTTACTCCACACATCCATCGCAACATTAGCATCTCTGCTGCATGTAATCGCCTTTCATCCGTCATTTTAGTGGGTTACGAGTTTAGTGACATGCGATTATACATATTTATTTATTTATTTATTACACTTCATGTAAAATTTACATTGGTGGACTTAATGCCTAAGGCATTATCTACCGTATATGCGCATATAAATACTTACATACGGATATACGTTTGTATTGAACACTTTGGATTGAAGTTTCATGCTCAGTGAATTTTTAAAGCTTGGCAATTATATTTCTAAATGAGTAATGTGATAAGTCATAGTTTTATTTGCAGATCGAGTCTCCTTTAGATAATTTGACAACCGTCGGCTGGATATTGGTATATCTGTCTCTTTGTATTCTTATACTGTTCGTGGATTGCTATTTTGGAAATACCATAACGGTTAAGGTATGTATGTCAATTTATAAACAACATTACAAAAAAGCCTTGGTCACTAAAATCAAATTTAAAAAAGTACTTTTTCGTTAATTTTATTTCGGTATCTAATCGATTTTTTTACTAAAACACAAATGTTAAAGTAGTTACGTAGTTTGTTCTTCAAATACTTCCAACGTATAATTAGTGATGCTGTTCCAATCCAACATAATCGAAATAAAAGCTCAGTGCTCTGAATGGATTTATTTGAATAAATAAATTTACATTTAAATTCATTTTAGAAGTTAACAGTATTGAAATAAAATTAGGATGAGATATTATGTGTACAACTATACAACAGTTCGTTTCCAGATATTGGTATGGATTTGGTAAGCACCATCCGGATTTTTTCGCAATTTCAGAATTTATCGCACAGACAGTGAACGAACTCTCGACCCACCTGATGCTAAGCGATTACCGGAACCCAAAAAAATCAAAAAGTTAATGGCCCGCACCATATTGACTTATTAGGTCTAGCCTCAACTGTATAGTATGAAGCCCTTTTTTTTTTTTTTTTTTTTTTTTTTNCTTGCCCCGCCCACTGTGCATCCGATGCACACTAACTATAGGGAGTGCCTGAGCGATCAGGTCCTCCTTAACGTAGTCTATGTCTAGTTCTTTCGGTACTCCGCGTATTACTACGCGGAGCTCGCGGTCCTCCTGAAGAGCATAGGTGTGGAAACCTATGTTCTCCTTTCGGAGGTATGCTGAGAGGGCCCTATGGTCGCCCGGCGTTGCGACCTTAATCTGAATCCAGTGAAGCCCGGAAATGATACCCCTTTAAAAGTGTTTACCGACCGCTATAATACGTCTTACCATTAAGCAGGGTAAGGCTCGTTTGTCTAATAAGGTAATAAAAATAGAAAAACTTGATGCCTGACCCGGCCATATTTAGGTTTGAATCAAATTAATACGAATGACACTCAAACATCTACAATTCTCTCTAAAATGCCAACTGTACAACGTTTCTCATCTATACAAATAAATAAAATTGGAGTGTCTGTTTGTAATAATAAAATAACCACTTTTTACTAAACGCGTACCTAATTATGTATACACAGTACATATACCAAAATAACTCTTTATTTATTTTGTCTGTCTTTTTGTGTCTGTCTGTCAGTTTGTTCCGGCAAATCTCTGGATCGGCTGGACCGATTTTGACGGAGCTTTCACTGATAGGTAGCTGATGATATAAGGAGTAAATAAGCAATTTTTTTTACACTAGCTTTGACCCGCGGCGTCACCCGCGGTACGACAATAACCGCGAGTAACATCGCGGGATTCAGCTAGTCAGTTATATTAATAATTCCGGTACGCATAGATAGATACAATCAAAGAAACAAGTTGTAAACATTATTTCTACATAAACACAACTTTACCGAAGTTTAAACTTTGTTGAATTCTTCGCCTTAATGGCAAATTAAGGTGACACCAATTAATCTCCCGCGTATAGGCTTTCGGAAGTAAACATTGTACTCATCGCAGTTGGCGTACTCTGAACATAATTTCCGAGGTAATAATTAAGTTATTCTACATTGTTCCCGACGCGTGTAAACGGAGCGACAATGATGAGTTTGAAATTATTAATAAAGCCACAATAACAAGCATGCAGTCAATTCATTATTGCTAGTGATTGCAACGCGAAAATGTATTTTATACAGAATGAACATTTTAAATTCACAGTGTAATTATAGTTCACATATGGTTCACGCTGTAATTAAAATTTCGGGATTGACCATCGATTTTTTTTTATAACAAAAAGCGTTGTTTCTATTAATACAATTAAAAATTATTATATTATAGTTTAATTTTGCGTTTTTTTTTGCAATTAAAATGTGGGATTTAATCGTAAACCGTAGTTTTTATTATGTATGCGGCTCCCGAAAATTGAAGAAAATATCGGTAGATAAGCAGACCATTTTGTATTTAACGATCAAAAGAGATACAAAAATTTTTCAAAAAATTATATTATATATAAACTTTATTCTCAATATTGAGCGATGCTGTTGAAATTTGTTTTTTAATTGCTTAGATAAGTGGACCAGCTCAAGACCCACCCAATGTTAAATGATTACCGGAACCCATAGACATGAAGACGTAAGCGCGGCCACCCACTAAGTCTCAATGTTACAGCAAAGCGGCTGTCCCGCGCTTCAAGCCTAATCGCATTACTGCTTCCTGATATATATTGGCAGGGTGCTGGCAGCTGCCCTTGCGGGCTGATTCTTTTATTGCATAGATGGATGAACCAGCTCGGGGCCTACCTGTTGTTAAATTATTATTGGAGTATACATAGGACCGCGTGACCTGCCTTAAGACTCAATTGTATTCACGTTAAAGATATCACATCTTGCTTGATATTCGCTTGCGACGAAGGGCTCGACGAGTAAATTAACCCATAGACACAGCCCACTGAGTTTCACGCCGGATCTTCTCAGTGGGTCGCGTTTCCGATCCGGTGGTAGATTCTGCGAAGAATTGCTCTTGCTAGGGCCAGTGTTAGCGACACTCCCGGCCTCGTGAGCTCACCTACACGCCAAAGAGAAGCTGAAATAGCCTCTCAAAACTATCAGCATAGATAGGTGGAAAAAAATCACATCTTAGGGCTACGATATCCACGTAACACTAAGTGATCCAATTAGACTTAATATAGGCGGTAAAAATGATTTATTAAACATTACGGCTATCTCAACTTTCAAAGTGGAACGCAAATCTGTTTTGATATAAATTAGACTCAAAGGAGGTTATATAACCCGCGCTGGCTTACAACTAGTGACAAATTTTCCTTTTATTTAGATTTGATTTTTGTTATTTTTTTATTTTATTTCCTTTTTTAGTGTTACGCGTTGGGGTGCGGGATAAATTCTACCTAATTACAAGTTAACACTGTATTAGCACTTAGAACACGTAAACACTCAACAAACACTTTAAAACTCTCAATTCACTTCTTCCGCTTCGCTTCAGGTGATCCGTTCGCTGTTTCGCTTCGAGTAGTTCCGATTACTGACTGACTGCGTGCCATTTCTGCAACGCTTTTATAGCCGATACCACATACCTAGAATTATCGAGAATGTTCCACACTTTCGAGTATTGTGTTTCCGCTGTCTGACAATAGATGGCATTGTACTTCTCGAACGTTTTAGGTGCTACTAGATCCTTCGATATTCGTTCGACTATTCGGCGGTAGATGGCGCTACTCTCACCGGTGTAACAGTAGGTACACGAGCATATGGCCCACCGAGCATACGGTTACTGGTTACCATTGCTAATGGACGTCAGTAATGGGGCACAGCCAATTCGCTACCTACCGATGAAGACTCTACGCAAGTTTATTGTTCATTATTTCGGGTTACATTATTAAAAGCTGTGTAATTTTCGATTTTGCGAATATTTTATAGTTCTGAGCTCAACTTTTGCTTTGAAAAATTATCATCACACTAACCATCAGGACTCTATTCGAGTTTATTTTTCTTTATTTCGGGTTACATTATTAAAAGCTAGGTAAAGTTTATATACTACGAATACTGTGCAGTTTTGAACTCAAACTTTTGTCCTTGAAAGTTATCATCGCCCTAACCACTGGTCTTTCATTATGAAATTCTATTTATGAAGTTTATCTTCTCACGTACGCATAAAGAACTAACAGCTTAAGTAACAAGTTTGGGTAATACTACTAAGAACTCGTAAAAGATTGAGTAACAAATTTGGGTAATACTACTTCTAGTGTGCGTATTTACCGACGGCAGTATTCTCTATTCCGTGGTTGGATCAGCCAAAGAATATTCAAGTAAGCACTCTACTCTTCATGGCGAAAACCCAACAACCCGTCCAGCTGATAGCGGCGAAGCTAGTTCCTGTTTCACTCACTACATTCACTCAGGTAAGTGTTTCCAAATGGTTTGTTTAGCAAATAAACCATCTAAACCAGGGGCTCCCAAAGTTATTTTGTTATCTGCCCCCTTTGAGAATAAATTCTTTTTTAGTGCCCCTATTTTTCATCTACCTAAAACCACTATGGCGAGAGCTCAGTCGGTGTCTAAGAGTCCCCCTAGATGAAATTCCAAATCGCCTCCCAAGCTTCTACACAACGCCCCCATATTTTTTCTGGGTCTCTTACCGCCCCCCTTTAGGCTTGCAGTGCCCACAAGGAGGCGTTATCGCCCACTTCGGGAAAGACTAATCTAAACCCATCTAATTATAAAAATTAGGGCGGGGCAGCCGTTGTACTGTACTGTTAAACGTGAGACATTACGACTCGTGTCTCAAGGTGGGTGGCGACATTTACTTTGTAGTTGTCTATGGGCTCCGGTAACCACTTAACACCACTTAGGCCGGGAGCTCGTTCACCCATCTAAGAAATAAAAATTAAATAAAAAAACCGACAAAAAATTGTCTTTATAATGGAAATAGCCGCGAAAGTTTAGAACAGCCCATCTAATGTTGAACAGAGAGCGCATTTAAATAGTTGTATCATGAAATGAATTTATTTATAATAACAGCGAAAATGATAATACCAACGGGTTCATCTTTCGAGCCGGAATGCATGGCTAATAGAAACAGTCAGGGCGGGTGTTTCTCAATCTTGCGAGGGGTCAGTAGTGCCTACAAAACAGAATGCAGTAGTGTTATTTATATACAATATACAGGTTTTTTTTCGCTCATGACGAAACTTGGACGTAACTAAACTACAATTTGTTCAAAAATAATAAAATCGATTCATAGTTTAATAATCCATTTATTATTTTCATTTTATTATAAATTCGGTACTGAAAATAATAAACGCTAAATTTTTGCCGTAAGAGTAGTTATAGTTTATGTGTTAGATTTAATGACACGGCCACGTACTTATCTCGCGTGCGGTTTGTAAGAATAAACACATGCTAGCTATATAACACACACATTTATAGAAATGAAATATATGTAACCTCCATATGATTTTTGACATAAAGAGGTTAATATGTTATACAGGTGACATAAATGCTAATTTGAATGTTGAAACATTAGAAGAAGGAACATAAGAAATATAAAAACATTTTTGAATTGTAAAATATAAAAAAACATAAAAACTAGCGAAGTAATAGTTTTAAATGTTGTTTATCTTTATAGAGCAACTCAGTTTGTGCTAAGGTTTTACTAGGTTAAACTTTATACTTATGCGAATAAAATAATACATTATAATTATATATTAAATTTAAGATACTTCAACGGCAGTTCTTTCATTTACCACTTAATAATTATACAAAAGGTTATACATGAGTAGAAATTTCTTCGTTTTTACACTACGTACTTTACAATTTGTTATCAGATATCCATAAATAATGCTACAATATGAACTGTAAAGAAAAGAAAAAGTGTGAAAAAAGTTGAATAATAGAGATAAAATAAATCTCGAGTCAAAAGATTAAGTTTATTAAAAGTAATGACAAGCAACCTTTGAATTTTGTTTTAATTCTCATCTAATCTTATCTCACTGTTGCTTCAATGCCAATCTCTTTCAATGACCCGGATAAATGTTTTAATACAAATAGCCCCTTTTGTATCTATAAAATAGATTAAAACGACGAACGCATAATTTATTACCATTACCCGAAACGTTCGTGAAAGATTTTATCGTGCTAAACTCTAGAAACTTCCAAATTTGTCCACAACAAATATCTGTACAAACAGAAATTATCTTCGGATTCTGTCAGGTATTGTATTTGTGTGGCAAGTTGTGGATTTACCGCAAATAGAAATACCGAACTTTGTAATGATTGTGTCAAAACTTTGACATCTTGGCCGTGTCATGATTATTAAAATAGTCGATCGACGTTTTGTTATAACGAAAAGATATAACTTTGATTTTGTCAAAATATCATTCATACGTCAATTTAATACGATCTCACTCTGACTGGTTACTAATTACTATCAGGACACAATATTAATAAGTCTTATTAGGTTTAAAGCCATACTTAGCAAGTGACTCACCAGAACAATCTCTTTTTTTTAATTGTTTGTCTATACTAATATTAGGCATAAAGAGGAAAGATTTGTTTGTTTGTTTGTATTCAATAGGCTCCGAAACTACTGAACCGATTTGAAAAATTCTTTCACTGTTTGGAAGCTACACTATTCCCGAGTGACATAGGCTATAATATTTTCTGAAAAAAATTAGGGATCCTTACTAAAACTCCAATAATGTAACCCAAGATGTAAAAAAAATACCTAAAATATTCTTTACATCGCGTGCCCTGCGAAAACTATTAATGATAGAATAAAATAATGTAATACGACTTTGTAGAACACATTATTGATTACAAAATGTCTCGTGATAGCATATGTCTAACTATTATAGTTATGCCGCAATAAGTGTTCTTTTATAAAAAAAAATTAAACAACGTCAAATATCGTTAAATTTTTTGTTAAAGACCCGAGCGGAGCCGGAGCGGGCCGCTAGTATATACTATATATTGCTTATATACGTTGGTGCGACCAGATCTGCACAGCTCGTGATTCCACATTTCACAACCCCATCCACACCGCTAAAGACAGAAACAGATGGAGAAAGATCGTACGTGAGAAAGTAATACAGAAGGTGGTCACGACATTTAGCATTGAAGGATACGTCGCAAGAAGGAGGAGGATATACGTTATAAATCCTTCGGTCCATCTTGGATTAAGTCTGTCCACCTATGTGTTCCACAAACATAACGTTGGATGTCACCGGCAACTTTTAGCTATGAATTCGAATCTTAGTTGCAAAATATAAAGCGAACAATTCCTCCTTTAAGTTGCAACGCATGATTGATTCGCTGCAGAAATAACCAATCTTGCTATTATTATTGACCAAAATTGGACGGGGACGAAGAGAGAAATAATTAGAACTCGACATTGATATTGAGCTAGATGACAAGGTCTAACTGCGATGGACAAGGACGATATTCTTAATGTCATAAGAACTTTACACATTCGGGAAAGCAGTAAGCGAAAAATGGATGTTAAATGTAATTCATATAACGCATTCCTTTTTACCTGTGCTTTGAAATGAAATAAGCAGAGAATGGACCCTCTATATCTTTTTCGATCTTGCACTCCTGTGCCTTCCACTCCTAATATTGATTATATGTGCAAAAAAATCTCATAGTCGTCCGTCCATACGTAAACAATTCACACGTTTCCAACAATATCCTTTAGGTTCTTTTTACAATACTGCGATAACTGAGATTTCCATTTTGCCGAGCTAAATAGAAATGTTTGAGAAGAGTTTAGATTTAATTAAATTTAAGGAAACAAGGTGAAATCGTGTAATCCGTGGTTGGGTTCAAATTTTTTGACGTAATTAATTATCAAAATTGAGACGAAAATTTTATGTAATTCCCAATTAAAATAAAGTAATGAAATTTTTAGCTGTATACTCTTATGCAGTTATTTATATTATTATATAATTTAATTAAACAATAATAATATAATAAATAACGTTATTATTAAGTGGTATTATTTTCATGAAATCTTTTAAATCAATGGTAGGGCGTCTTGTGAGTCCGGACGGGTAGGTACCACCACCGCTTATACTATCTGCCGTGAAGTAGTAATGTGTTTCGGCTTAAAGGATGGGACAGCCTTTGTCCTGTCACTAATGCCCGTATCTTTAGACATTTCGTCAAATAGTCCTCCACTCTTAACTTATCCGATGATGCTCGAGCATTCCTCCCAAACTTACTCGAGTTTGGTATTTTTAGTCGACCATTACAATATTCCTCAACTGTCCTCGAGTGAGGTAGAGTCGTGTTATTGCGTCACCACGATAACATCAGTTTGAGAAAAATTTGATCAAGCTAGCATCAAACCCATAGAGTTCTGTAGTCTATGGTCATTGCTTAATGTCAAAGTCAAGCTGTCGCTGTCTGTTTGACACTAGAAGCATTGAACTTGTTTGATGTTTTAGTTGCTGAGTTATTCGTAAATATGTGTGCCTGCGGTAAATTTGAAAGTGTATTATTTATTTTCTAACCCATTATTATTTTAGATTTCGAACCCGATTTTGTATTTTTATTCGCCGCTTTTGTGTGATTTTGAGTGCATCGTGTTGTTGAAGTGCTTTTCCACAACCACCAGTTTATTATTATATAAATAAAACTTATGATCGCATTGACTTTATTTATAAGTAGTAAGCAAAATATGACTCTTATGTAGGTAAATAAAATAAGAAGTTTCAAATGTCTGACAACGAGTCTAAGCAAGAGTCTAAACTCGAACTATTTACTTTATTAATAAAAATTATCAAAATTAAATTATCAAAATATGCACGAATCATGCACAGATCCAGGTCAATGCACAACAATATCATATATTTCCATTTGCGGTCCACATACTAATTGGACATTGATAGAAAACCAGCCTCGAGGAACGTTCGTTCAACGTAGATTTGACAGTTCGTTTACTCCACTCCGGTTAGGAAATTTTTCCAAGGACGTTTGAGTGGAGTTTATTTTTACGACTAAGCATACCAAAAGGCGCGTTGGAGGTTGAGTCGAGTCGAGTTAAGCTCGTGTGAACGACTAAAGATACGGGGGTTAGATCTCATGTCTCGTCTCAAGGCTAGTGGAGGTATTTACGTTGTTGATGTCTACGGGCACCGGTAACGACTTAACACCAGGTGGGCTATGAGATCGTCCACCCATCTAAGCAAGAAAAAAAAATTCACATAAAGTCACTCAACTTTGACATTTGACACAGTGAAGTGTCAGAAAAAATAATCCACAGAAATGTTTATTTAAACTGGAAAAACCTGATTCCATTACCATTTGTCTATTTGATGTCGTAAATAAAGTACTACCTGCCCCACTGTGAAACTAAGTCGACAGATTAATAGTGAGTGCTCGAGCACAAAAGGTCGGAATAGGATTAAATTTGTTGCGGATTCACTGCATCGTTCCAGTTGAAATTCGTGGGACTTTTAGACATATTATGCTAGCTAAGTAGGATTCAGGGTGCTTCATTTTGTGGAAATTTTCCATTGTAATTAAATTCGTAGATGTGTAACAAATTTTCAAGTGTAACCAATATGCAAATTAATATGTGGTACTGTATCTGTTGAATTTAAATATTTATTTTAGTAATTACTGAGATAGCAACATTTACAACGTTTGTTAAAAAAAACTTTAACTCAAAATTAGATAAAGAATGTAATCAGAAGCATTGTGAATAAAAAATGAAACACAAAATTAATTTATTTATTTAGGTTCGTCGTTTATTTTTCGTCGGAAACAGGTATTTAAAAAAAGGGCATAATATTTTAAAGAGGAGCTTTATTTATGGGTTTTAATTCCAGAAGACTAATATCTATTAATAACGTAAGTTAATCAATTATCGAAAAGTGTAGAAGAAAACGGAATAAAAATAACAAAACAACTTCAAAACAAGACAAGTTATTTTTTTTAAATTAAACACTTGCATCGACTGAGTCCAAAAGATATTTGGCACTACGATAGATCAAAAGGGAATTTACCTTTAAGCAAAATCATTGATGGTTGCTTACAAAGCTTTAGTCAGGTATTTAAATACGAAGGTTGATGAATTATTCATCATAGCCCGTGGCTCTGGACTGGCGGCCTCCGCTGGGACGCGCCGTCTACTGTTTAATCTTTGTCAATTAACTTACAACGCCAACGGCTACCATAAACAGCATTATCAACACGTTTCCTGTTGTTACAAGTAAATCCATACAAATATGACATTTAACTCTTCTTTTAGGTTAAAAATGCAATGCAATGCCTTTTATTTTGTAAAGTAACTGCCATGACTGCGCGACACAATTAAGATAAATTTTTTTGGAACGAAGTTCCTTATGGGACGATTCGGAGGGGTACCTTAACCGGTAAAAACGTCCGTAACGTAAGATTTTTATTAGTAATGCACACAGTGTACGACTTAACTTGGTAATAACGTACAAAAAATAACATATTTTTTTATCTTTCATTTACCACGATCTCAGAGCGTTCGTTTGCGCAATACACTAACTCTTATGCAAACAACCGTGAATGAAGTGTACCACAATAAGTTCCCACGTTACCGAATGACCGTGGGTTGTTGCGAAACCCCCAGTTTGATTTTCTTTATAGCTCGAATAGCACTTAAAATTAATATTTTATAATAAGGAACTTCGTTCCTATCCGGTGTCTCACGACACCACACATCTTTTTTTTAAACTGTTATTGCATATGGAGCATACGGATAATGAATTATCATCTAATACTGGGTAGCAGCCGACTACCAGAAAGGCGATGCTCGTTTATCCGTAGGTATGAATGATTCATACCAGAAACAGGCAGGTCGAAGACAAACGCGGGCTCTTAATTAAAAACTAGTCATACGGAATTAATATTATAGAATACAATACCGTTTATCTTTCGTAATTGGCACTTTTAAGTAAAAGTTAAGCTTTGTAATTTTGTTCAGCTTAAGCGTTGCCCCAAGATTTAGTGATGAGTAAAATCGATTTCTTTTTCGTCTAATAGGTTAAGGTAGTTTTCATGTTAATTTAGAGTTTTTGTTTTATTATTATTAATTTAGAGTTTTTGTTTTATTATTATTTATTTATATGTATTTAAAATCTTATTAATTAAATAATATTTTTTAAAAAATATATTAAAAACACAATTTTTAAAAAACACTATATAAAAATAGATTGCCGCTGATGGCGGTGTCTACGACACAAGCCACCAGTGGTTAGGACTCCAGAGTGAGAAACCTCCTCACAATGCGTGCAGTATCGAGGATAACTGCTTTCTGTATTAGGCCCTTAACCCAGCTGGATAACGAAAGTTTCTTAAGATGTTGATCGAAAATTTTCGCTATCAAGCCGTGTACCGATACATTACTATTATTATTATTATTATTTGTTTTTTTTTTGTTTTTATTATTATTATTATTATTGTTTTTGTTTTAGTCCGAGATTAGTTATTATTTTTATTTAATTTTAGTATAAATTAAATGTTAATGCAATGTAATTAAGACGTGTAATATGGATGTAAAATCTGAAGTAAACTAAATAAACAAAAAAATTAAAAAAAAAAAATCTCATTTCACTGAATAACAAAATGTACAGTAGGCTAACGTTGGATTTTTCTCTTGCGGAAAATTCAACATCAAATTCTATTGTGATCAGATGAATTCGCGTGGAAGTAGGCCAGGGTCAATCTGACGTCTTAAAACTTTTGGCACTTAGCTGAAAGCTTCAATTTATTTCTTTATTCAATGAACAAGTTTGGTATTGCATAACTCTTTCCTAATGAGATAAGAAAATGTTTCGGGTTGGGCCTCGTCGCAGAGATGAATAAAAATTGGTTCTAAGAAGCTTCATTAATTAATTAAAATTGCTGTAACATGTCATAGTGTGTTATAAAAGATTTCTGTACATGCCTGTAACTGGCTTACCTACCAGTACTTAATTTTATACAGGTTAATTTTAAGCTTGAATGCTTTGTGTGTATTGCTGTTGGTGTGTCTAAATAAATAAAGAAATTATTTGTTTTAAAATCATAATAAATTACCTATCTATCGATTTTTTAGGAACAAGCCTAATATGATTATATTTGATACATGATTTTATGATATGGATTATGAACACATGATTTATAATTACAAGTTAAATATATTCTGTCACTTCAAATTTTTTTCTAAATAACTTTTTTCTTTGCCTGTAATGTTAATAAATCAATAAAATTCAACACTATATTATGCAGTATCGAGATTTTTATTTTTTTGAAGTTTATTAAAGTTATTGGAAAAAATATAATTTTAATTCATACCTGGGGGTTTTTGAAATTTTATTTTTTACAGTATTTGTTTTTAGATACGATGTGAATACGATAACATCATTTGAATCTAGCAATTCGTATTAACTTCGAAATTATTACCAAATACAATCGTGACTTAAGACACAAAAAAAAACTTACCATGTAATTAAATATCACATAAAATATACTTGGTCGCCTTCTTCTCATTAGGAAATGTAGCATGGTTTCATTAACATCTTTTTCCCTTTTCTTTTACAGGTAATGAACTGGACTTACAAAGGCTTCGCTCTAATGAATCAGATGAAAAAATGAAAATTTATTTGATCACATCCAAATTACTTAGAAGCTCACAGATTTAACTTATAAAAGCATTCGACTTTAGTTAATAAAATAAGTTGCACAGCTTTGTTCTTTCTTTTCCGGAGGTACTTACAAAGAACCGAGGTGCAAACGATACATCTCAAAGAAAATAAAAGAACAAATTAATCCCGGCAAAAGATCTAAAGCCTCTCTCAATAAAGGAAAGTATTCCGCGCCTCTGGTGATATGGGTGGAATATTAAATAGGCAGGGAGAAAAGGGAAACCGCCTATTTATTCACAACTCACCGTTGTGTGACATTGTTCGCGTTTTTATGTCCGTCTCAGCTTTTTACGACAGTTTTCCAGGGTGAAGACCTTTCAATATTGAACTGAGGTGTTTCGGAAATCCGTTCTCGTATAATATGTTGTGATTTTAGAGAATACCCTTAAACTCGAGCTATCAGACGTGGTTAATCACTATAGTTAATCCAGGACTAAAATAAACTCAATTTTTTTATCGACTGATTAAAAAAAATTTATAACAAACAAAACAAAATAATAAAACATCTGATAACAAAAACAATATAAGTAAAGGAACTTCATTTTCTGATATTAATAATAATATCTGATATTATCTTATATATATAAAAGAAGGTCGTGTTAGTTACACTATTTATAACTCTAGAACGGCTGAACTGATTTGGCTGAAAATTGGTGGGGAGGTTTTTATCAGGTCCCCGGGGGACGTGATATAAAATGTGGTATAACAAAACGCAACTGATATGGAATAACAAAACGCAACTGACAGATAAACGTAATGTAGTCTATGGTTAATTAAAGTACAATTTTGAAGTTGACCAGTTGATGTGTTAGTTTCGAGTTTCTATTAGCTTATTGTGCCGAGATAGGTAAACATTAAGAAAGCCATGCCGTGATCAACACGATCAAATCTTTCCCGAAGCCGTAATGCAACTAGGGTTCGAAACATTGCGAGTGAAGGACTGAAGAATAACAAGAAAATATAATAATAACAACTAAAATACATGGCTAATAAAGTATCATTAAAATACTTGCTTTTTAATTTACATTAATTATCCAAATAAAAAATTGGCCTCGATAAAATCAATAGTCTGCTCATTTATTGCCTCTAAGGCGGAACAAAGTTCGCCGGGTCAGCTAGTAAATAATAAAGCTTGGACGCAAAACAATGAATCGTTTATTAACTGACAAAGTAAATAAAATATCTTGATCTATGTCACGACTCAATTTTGTTCGTCCCGTATATCATTAAATAGAGTAAACAATATTAAGCTGAGCTAATGAGATAACGTATGGCCGGAACTGCTTAATGATCGATACTATCGTCGAATTATGAGGCATAAGCGATTCATCCATTAGTGACAAATGTTTGCTGCAATCAGACCGGCAACGCGGTCGGAAACTGCAATTAATCAACACGTATACCCACTTACACTGTCTGCACTATTGGCAACAACACAACGAGGAAATACATTTGAATGGCTACGTAATTTTGCCATTGAGGCTGTTTATAGTTTCTGTGTCGCCTCTTTGGTTGCGAGATTTTTTTTTTATTGCTTAGATGGGTAGACGAGATCACAGCCCACCTGGTGTTAAGTGGTTACTGGAGCCCATAGACATCTACAACGTAAATGCGCCACCCACCTTGAGATATAAGTTCGAAGGTCTCAAGTATAGCTACAACGGCTGCCCCACCTTTCAAACCGAAACGCATTACTGCTTCACGGCAGAAGTAGGCGGCGCGGTGGTACCTACCCGCGCGGACTCACAAGAGGTCCTACCACCAGTAAAAAACCACTTACACTGCTTGCACTATTGGCAACAATACAACGAGGAAATACATTTGAATGGCACCGTAATTTTGCCATTGGGGCTGTTTATAGTTTCTGTGTCGCCTCTTTGGTTGCGAGAATATATGTGCAGAGTTTTAGTCTTGTACAATTGCTTCCAATATATAAACGTGGTTAAGCAGAAAGGATTCAATATACGGCCTCGTTCAATTTATTGAAAAATTTAAGTCAGACTCAAAGTGAGCGCTTTGATTAAGGTTTGATGAAAGAAAGCGTTTTGATTAAACTTTTTTTTTTATAGCGTGTAATTTGTGGAATTTTAATATGCATCTAGGTGTCAAGTAAACTTTGCTTTTGCCTAATTTATTTCATTCCTTTTTTGAAATTTCTTTTTAAGCTCGCCTACTAGCGATTAGCTTTGATATTGGAAAGGACTTTTTAAACAGATACGTTAAGTATTTTGCCGCAAGATTTCGTCGTGAAATACCTAATGTATGGCTTGGAACCGGATCGATTACATTAGTTCAATACTAATCAAAAGGAATAGAAAAGCCAGCGCGCTGGTCGCTTCACACCGTGCAAAGCTTCCTACAATTCAATTTGCGGTGCTCCGCCAAACACAAATACTGGCTACACGCCCAGAACAAACTGGCTATTGCTTTGACAGAACCGAGAAATCTATTAAACAGAATCATTGACCAGTTCGTGTTCGAATGGTCAATGAATTTTATCATCGTAGTAGTTAGAAAACACATGATCGTCACTGGTGGGATATTTGTGAACATTTTAAGCAAAATCTTCACTAGGGTGTCGTAAAAGGCAACTAAGGGAGGCAGTTGAGAAAGAGCCGTAGCATTTTCTAAGTGTTATACCATCATACTCCAATTACCAACCTATATTTATCGATGGTAGGGTGTTGTCTCCACGAAGAGCTATAACAATCCTGTTCACTTCTGCTGTGAAGCAACCATGTATTTTTCTTAATTACTGGTGGTAGGACCTCTTGTGAGTGCGCGGGTAGGTACCAACCACCACCCTGCCTATTTCTGCCGTGAAGCAATAATGCGTTTCGGTTTGAAGGGTGGGGCAGCCGTTGTAACTATACTTGAGACCTTAGAACTTATATCTCGAGGTGGGTGGCGCATTTACGTCGTAGATGTCTATGGGCTCCAGTAACCACTTAATACCAGGTGGGCTGTGAGCTCGTCCACCCACCTAAGCAAAAAAAAGTAAAAATTCAAAATATTGGTTATGACTGCCGCTATGAATATTTATCTGGATAGGGATATTCATGTTGTGATGTCTGTTCCAATAATTACTAAACATTTGGTGGTTCAAATATATTTCCATATTTATGTCTATTTACATTATCTTTTAACCTTATTAAAAAATGTTTTAACTGGTGACGAACTCCGATTTTCCTGGAGCTAAGTAGTTACCAGATCCCATAGACATTAACAACGCAAATGCCACCAGCCACCTTGCGACATTATTTCTTAGTCTTGGTCTTATATGCAGAAGAACAGCTAACCAACCCTTCAAACCATAACGTGCTCACAAGATTTTGAGCATGTGCTAATAATATAATAATATGTATACAACGTTAGCAGGGCAGGGTCCATGATGCCTAGGGCCCTAAAATTCCCTGGGCCCGCGGTTTCGCAGTCGCGAACCAATCCCACATACCCGGCGCGCCCCCTAGGCGTGGGGACCTCCTAGGATATTCGACCCCCAGCACGAAAAAAAAGGGTCCATGATGCTTAGTTTTCTTTCAGTGGGCGTCGTTGGGTAATGTCGGAGAAACGAAACAAAGTAGCTTACTTGGTCAGATTACAATGTCTAATGATTCCACAAGACATGTTATACAACTTTTAGGTAGATACGTATTTAGGAACACACGGTGATTCAATATCGACCACTCTAGCCGACTGCCAAACGATAAGTGAATAGTTGACTCCATCGAACGCTGACAGACGGCGCTTGCATCTCGTATCATGTGTTGATTGCGACATATCTATATATTAATACGTGAAGCAAAAACTTTGTATCCCTTTTTACGAAAATTGCGCGGACGGAGGAATATGAAATTTTCCACACTTATAGAGAATATAGAGAAGAAGTGCACAATGCTAATATTTTTTTAAAATAATGCATAAAAGATACATTAAATCAATAAAGAAAACATTACACACACTACATACCATGTATTTGACGCACACACGCATGCATACTATTTATTGTCAAACTTTTGTTCTTGACGTCTGTTGTCAAATTGAGATTAAATATTGTTTGTCTTTGTTAATATTTTATATAGTATAGTCTTGGCGAAACTTGTTATTATAAAAGTATAAAATACAATCGTAATAGTGTACAAACTTAAAATTAATTATAGTCGAATTTCGACTACTGCGGGACCTCTAGTATGTATTAATAGGTTATATTCCGTTTCTACAAGTGTTATTTTGAATCCAGCAATTTATTTATAGTTCTAGTAAGACTGTGGGTGACTTTCATACAAAAATAAATAAGTTAATTATATAAGGTTTATTTCTTTACGTTACGTAAGATGTTATACTTCTTGAGGTGAAAAATATAATAGTATATTTTTAGCCAGTGACGAAGTTGCGTGGCGATTTAGCACCTAATTTATTTATTTCTTAAGATTAGCTATTATCATTTAAGCTAATTTTTAGTTTTATATTATATAATTCTCGTTAATATATTCAAACAAGCCAACGCAATAAAACTTCTCAAAAAAAATTACGTATCTTTTTGATCGATGACAATTTTATCACTAATATTACTTATTGTATCTTCTTCACGTAGTAAAAATTATGACTACATTACATACTATGTAATGTAAAAACATGTCATAATTTTTAGAAGATGCGTAAACGAAATTTCCATCTATTGTTAATCAATACACACATACTGTTATTGTTTTTATCTTTTTATTTATGTGTATTTATTATTGTTCAGACTGGAAAATGTATAAGCTGTGACTCATTCCGAAGCTAGATGTTTTTTTTTTTTCAAACTCTCGAAATCCACTTGTTTATGCTTAGTGCTTAAGCAAGTAGTGTCGATTGTGGATTGAGGAAGGAGCTACAAAAAGGAAGTCCTAACAGACACCGTGTAGTAAATCCTATAATCTCCTTAAAAAATAAGAGAAGAAGTTTTCATTGAATTGGTAAAATAACTATACGACCAGAGTCAGTTCTGCTTCTCGGCAGAAATATACTAAGACAATACTATCAATCCATAGAGCCCTCATAAACAAAATATGAATACTA